ATTAATTGAAATGAATGAATTATTTAATCAAATAATTATTGATAATTAATAATAATAATAAAATAATTAGTAAATAATAAATAATAACTAATAATAGTAAATAATAACAATTGTTAGTTTAAAAATTATTAATAACTAAGCAATATTATTCATTAATAATTGATAATTGTTACAAATTATTAATTAATAATAATTAATAATTAAAAATAATAAGTAGTTGCTTAATGAATAGTTATTTAAAATTAATTGTAACTTATAATTAATTGTAGTATTTAATTAATAATTACTAATAATTATTATAGTTAATAAGGACTTATACTTTAATAGTAATAGTAATTACTAAATTATAATTAATTACACTTTGAAAGTTGAGAGACTAATGGTAGAAATATAAAACGTACATTTTGAAAATTAAATGAAAAAAAAAAGATTCCATAGTGGCATGTTCAGTAATTTCATAGTTCAAACAGTGGGTATTCCATGAGCATATTCAATAATTTATAAAAACAAAGGATAGTCTAGTGAATTCAAACAATATTTTCCAAAAAAATTCAAATAATCCATTGATGAGAGGTCAAGATAAGAGGTTCAGTCCTTGAGGCGCTTACAGGTTGATTTTTTTGTTTTTTTTTTTTTTTTAATGGCAAGGCGCTTAAAGATGTTGTTTAGCCCATTTATTGAATGGTCTAATCGTGGGTTAATTGTATATTTTTAAGTTTTAACTCTTAAGGGATTAGGGTTGCATTTGGTTTGTAGGAAGATTTTGGTGGGATGGGAAAGGAAAAAGGGAAAATAGTGGAAAAATCAACCCTAATAATAGTCATTAATTAATTATATAGTTAGTAATATTTTATTATTTTATTTAATTATTAATATTTTATTAATTAAATTTATAATTAATTATTAACTAATAGTTAATATTTTAAATCTTACTTTATTATATTTACTATGAATTAATTCATACTTTTAATTATATTTTATTATATTTACTATGATAATTATTAATACCTTTGAACTAATTAATAAATTTAATATTTTAATATGATTTATAAATAATTAATAAATTATTTTTCATTGATTCATTATGTTTTATTTTATCTTAATTAAATTATTAATATTAGAATAATTATTTAATTATTCATTAATTAGTTAAGTAAATAATTATTAACTATTTTATTGTTAAATATTAATTAATTAGTAATACTTTTATGATTTAGTATTTTATTATTAATTATATATTGATATTACTTAGTTAATTAATTTTGAACATTAATTAATATTTTAATTTTGTTATTTATATTTTATTTAATGACTACTTATTGCATTATAAATAATTTGAACATTTTATTTTGAAAAATTAATTAATTATTAAATAATTTTAATTGATTAATTTTTATTAATTATTTATATTAATGTATTTATTAATTATTTTATTTAAAAGCAAATTTCTTAAACTACCCCTACTGTTTATTTAATTGACAAACTGTACCCTTACTGCTTAACTAATGTCTTTAACCACCCGTATTGTTCTGACAATTGACTAGATCTACCCCTTCGTAAACATGTGACACTACATTACCGTTTAAAATTTTTTAAAACACAGTTTTACCCTCATCCCCTTCCTCTGGATGCACCAACTCTCTCTCTCTCTCTAAGGACCCAACATGGCCAATAGGGAGAAGGAGCAGCCGAGCAGGTGAAATCCTTGACATCGATTGACAACCGGATTAGCAGCGACGAAGACAAAGCTTGGTCTTTTTGGGTTGCAGAAGCGGAGCTTTCTCAACTTCTATTTTGTCATTTTCTCGAGTTCTAGTTTTGCTTCTCGTTTAACTGTTACTATGATTCAATTGTGAATGATGATGGGTTCTTTGCAATTCAAAGTTATATGTGGATCTGCTCCATTCATGCATGGATTTTGAGTTGTGTCTAAATGGGTTCTTGTTGATACCGCCACATGACAGAGAGAAAGTGAGGGGGGTCTAACTTCTGAGGACGATGAACAAAGCCCTTGGGTATGAGGATGCTGAGCATAGAAAGGTAAGGCATTCCTTGTGTATAATCTCACTGTAGAGCCCTTGAGTATGGGACCCATGCTATGACAATTCCAGCACACGCCAAAACTGGATTGCATTGGCTTTGAGCGAATGATTTTGATCAACATCTAGAAATCAAGGAAAACTAATATATATTTTGCCATGAACTCAAATGATGATCTCATCCCGAGTGAACTAGGCGGTGCTCGGTTTGGTGTTCATCTCGTGGATGGGACCGTTTCGGCCCCGGGATGATATCTATTGGGCAGGTTGTGGATGGGATTGGTCCACGCTATATCGTGAACAGGTCTTGTCTACACCCCAATTTAGCGGCAAGGGCAAAATATCGTGGTTAGGGCCTGTTCATAGGTAATTTTTTGATCCCCTACTTCACACTTTCCTTGAAACCTTATTTGCTTCACATTTTACTGTTGGAGTTCTCCACCGCCCACTGAAGCTCTCCACCACTACAACTCTCCTCCACCGGTCCACCTGCCAAGGCTCCATCTTGAAGAAACTCACGATGTCAAGTGTTGCTCTTGACAAATGTTAGATCTGCATCAGAAAATCCTCTGTAATGTGTTTTCCTCTTGATGTGATCCTTCTTTATTTGCGAATAGTACTGTGTTTCCCTCTTAACTGTTGAATGATGCTAAATCTTGAACCATTGATCGTTTGTTTTTGTGTTCTTGATGCATCCATCTGGTTTGTAATTATTTTACCTATTTTTTTAATAAAATATTAATTATTTTAATATTTTTATAAATAAAATAATATTTTTAAATATTTAAAATATATTTTTTAATTTATTGATGCCTTTTTCAATATATTTATCATATAAAATGCAAAAATTAGATATTTATGATTAATTGTGTAGATCATTCATAAAATGTATATGAGATACATGAAATCAAAAAGTGT